GGTAGATTTACTGAGTCATATGGTAGCTATATCTTTAACATTTTGAAGAACTGTCAAACTGTTTCTCAGAGTATCTGCATCATTTTACATTCCTACCAGCAATGTATGAGGGTTCCATTTTTCTCCCTGTCTTCACCAACACTTGTTATTCTCTGTCTTTTTTATTATAGCCATCCTAGTGGGTCTGAAGTATATCTCACTGTAAGTTTAATTTGCATTTGCCTAATGGCTAATGATGTTTGAGCATCTTTTCTTCATGTGCTTAGTAGCCATTTGTATATTCTTTTTGAAAGAGAGTTTTTCTACTCTACTACAAAGAGAAGAAGCCTTTATGTGACTTTTTTTCTCTTCCTATGAAACACTACCGTTCAGACAGCCAAAGTGAATCATCTCAGTTAACTTATTTGTGTTCCATTACATTCATTTTGGAATAGATGCCCTCAGCTGCTGTAAATCTGACCTGTTGGTGAACAAGGCAACAAAGTCCCCTGACCAGCAGTTTTGGAATGTCCCATTTTTATATAGTACATCCATGTATACCCCCTATATATTTTTTTTTCTTTGGAGAAATTATTCAGATCTTTTCTCCATTTTAAAAATTGGGCTATTTGTTTTTTATTGTTGAGTTCTAAAAGTTCCTTGCATATTCTGGATACAAGTCTCTTATCAGATATATGATTTACAAATATTTTCTCTCCTTCTGTGAGTTGTCTTTTCACTTTCTTGGTGGTGTCCTTGGAAGCACAAAAGTTTTTAATTTTGATGAAGTCCAGTTTATCTATTTTTTTTCCTTGGTTGCTTGTCCTTTTGGTGTCATATCTAAGGAATCATTACCTAAACCAAGATCTTGATGTTTTACACCTGTTTTCTCCCAAGAATTTTATAGTTTTAATTGTTACATTTGGGTCTTTGATCCATTTGAGTTAACTTTTGTATGTGGTGTGAGGTGTTAGGGTCAACTTCATTCTTTTGCATGTGGATATCCATGTGTCCCTGCTCATTTGTTGAGCAGCTTCCTTTTTGAAAGTGATAGACACTAAACCCCAACCCCACCCACCTCAGTTCCATGAGTCCCTTGTAAGCCAGGCGGCTGTGGAAGAAAACATAGTTCTTGAATCACCAAGAAATCCCAGTTTTATTTTTTTAAATCCTCTCTCTCACAGATCTACCAGGGTGACTTTTAAGAATTTTTTCCTACTTTGAACTGAGATGTTGATTTCTCTACTTATACTTCACTCTGTCCAAATATGT